AAAAAAAAAAAAAAGAAACATAGTCTCAGCTGGGTACCTGTGGCTCAAGTGGCTGAGGAGCCAGCCACATACACCTAAGGTGGTGGGTTCGAATCTAGCCCGGGCCCGCCAAACAACAATGACAGCGTTGTGGAGGGCGCCTGTGGTCCCAGCTACTTGGGAGGCTGAGGCAGGAGACTTGCTTGAGCCCAGGAGTGGGAGGTTGCTGTGAGCTGTGATGCTACAGCACTCTACTCAGTGGGACAGCTTGAGGCTCTGTCTAAAAAAAAAAAGAGAGAGACATAGTTTCACTTTGTCGCTCTCGGTAGAGTGCTGTGGGGTCACAACTCACAGCAACCTCCAGCTCTTGGGCTTAGGCATTTCTCTTGCCTTAGCCTCCTGAGTAGCTGGGACTACAGGTGCCCACCACAACACCTGGCTATTTTTTTGTTGCAGTTTGGCTGGAGCAGGGATTGAACCCTCCACCCTCGGTTTATGGGGCTAGCGCCCTACTCACTGAGCCACAGGTGCTGCCCCCTTCAGGTCTTTCTGACACCACAACTGCCTCTCCCCAGGATTAGACCAACTGCTCCTATACATGTATTCATTGTACATTTTATCACCTTATGTTGAAATTTTGTATTTACTAATCTCTTCCCTACTAAGCTCTTTGACAATAATGAGTCTTTTTAAAAAATTCTGTCTTTGGGCAGGATCTGTGGCTCAAAGGGGTAGGGTGGTGGGTTCAAACCCAGTCCCTGGCAAAAAAAAAGAGAAAAATTCTGTCTTTAATTGACACATAATAAATGTACATATATGTGGGCTACAGTGGAATGTGAAAGGGTCTTCTCGTTAACTTTGTAACTGTACCTGGCTATTAATAAATGTTCAAATGTTTTCGGGAGGGAGGGTGCAAATAGACAAAGATTTTAAAAAAACAAATAAATGAAGTGTATTAAGTTGGGCAAAAAGAATAATGTCAAGTTATATGTGTATATGGGCATGATTGTTTCTGATGGTTAATATTTAGCAAAAGACTTCGTTTTGTCATTTGGTATTTATTTTTCAAAGATGCAAAGGGAATAATACTTGTTCTTTTGAATGAATTTAGGATTAACTTATCCCAGTTCTTCTTTTTTTTTGTAATTTTTGGTTGGTGCTGGGTTTGAACTTGTTACAGGAGAAAATATATATATATGTGTGTGTGTGTGTTGTTTTTATTTCCTGCCTTATAATTTACTAGCTCTGTGATCCTAGGCAATAATTTAATCTTTAAACTTTTCTTTATTAGTAAAGTAGAAATAATTTCTGTGCTTCCTGGGATCATTATTAGGATCCAGTGAGGTGATGAGTGCTTTAAAAACTAAAACTACCACTGTATGATGGAATTACTATTGCTGAAAGTTTGATGTGACTTCTTATCCTTATTCTCAAGTGATACACTATTCTTTTCTAATCGTGCTTTATGTGACTCCTTATCTTTCCACGTATAATCAGAGAGGTATTTTGAGGCTTAGTCATCAGCTTCTTAAATTTTATGTACATTTTCTCCTTTGAAGAATTCCTCTATTTTTAGGATTTCAATTACCTTTTTGTAGATAACTGTACATCTCCACTATATTGTCACCTTTGACAGCTCTCTTGTCCTCTGCAGTACCTGTCAAATGTAGAATCTGAATTTTTATTTCTATTAGAACCAGGCTCGTGGTAGGCACACAGTAAATTAACAGAAACTAATTTTGTGCCAGGCACCGTGTGTGCCAATTGCTGTACAAACATTTGCCCATTTAATCCGTACCAACTATTTGGTAGGTACTCTTGTTATTAAATCTCCATTTACAGAAGGGGAAGAATGAATCTGGTTAAGTCATCCAGTGCCAGGTCACAGAGTGAGTGGTAAAGCCAGGACTCAAACCCAGGCCCTTCAGCTCCTGAATCTCTACACGCTAACGAGGCAGCCTGCACTTTATGTCCCCCTACCATACCTTTCAAATCTACCACCACCATTCTAGCCTTTACCCTTTGATTTACACCAGGTCAGGTGATTCAACTTGAATACCTATTAGCAATCAAAAACTCAATGACGGATGGGCAGTGCCTGTATCTCAAAAGAGTAGGGTATTGGCCCCATATACCAGAGGTGGCGGGTTCAAACCCAGCCATGGCCAAAAACTGCAAAAAAAAAAAAACACCCCAAACTCAATGGCAGGAGACTAAGAGGTTAGGTATATGAAAGCAATAAGCCTGGGCAGGCAACAATGTAGAAACGCATGGAAAGCCCTGCCTGTCTGAGAGGAAACCACATTTTCTCACATGGATTGTTGTTGGCTTTGGGGAATGCAGACTTGGGGACTTTGTGACTCTTCCAGACATTGAAAACACTACTTGAGCTGCACAAAGCATGTCTGTCAAAAAGAAATTGGCTACTCTTATTTTTATATTAGAATGCCCCCTTTCTAATTTGTCAGTTTAATCTTAATCATTTAATTATTAGGATTAAATCATTTTCTTTAATCATTTTCTGCTCTAATACTGAAGGATTCAAGTTTGGACTGCTTTGTCTAGCATCAAAAATGCCCTGAAATGGTGGACACAGTGGCTCATGCCTGTAATCTCAGTGCTTTGGGAGTCCAACCCAGGAGTTTGAGAGCAGCCTGGGCAACACAGCAAGATCTTGCCTCTTAAAAAAAAATTTTTTTTTTTAAGTTATCTATTTTATTTATTCATTTTTATTTTTATTTTTTTTAAGTCAGAGTCTCAAGCTGTCACCCCTGGTAGTGCTATGGCATCATAGCTCACAGCAACCTCCAACTTCTGGGCTTAAGTGATTCTCTCTTGCCTCAGCCTCCCAAGTAGCTGGGACTACAGACACCCGCCACAATGCCTGGCTGTTTTTTGGTTGTAGTTGTCATTGTTGGTTGGCAGGTCTGGGCTGGATTCAAACCCGCCTTAGCCACTTGAGCTATAGGTGCCAAGCCTTTTGTTTATTATTTTGAGGAAATGAGGTAGGTCTTGCTCTGTTGCCAGGTTGGAATATAGTGGTGCAACCCTAGCTTACTGTAACCTCAGACTCCTGAGCTCAACTGATCCTCTTGCTTCAGCCTCCCAAGTAGCAGGGACTATAGGGATGTGCCACCGTGCTCAGCTAATTTTCAGGTTTTTTGTAGAAGTAAAGTCTCACTATGTTGCCCAGGATGTTATATCTTTCTGCCCCGGCCTCTCTAAGTGCTTGGATTATAGACACCATGGGATTACAGATGTGAGCCACCATGCCAGGCCTTCTACCAAAAAGTAGTTGCAGTTTTTGGCTGGGGCTGGGTTTGAACCCACCACCTCTGACACCCTACTCCTTTGAGCCACAGGCACCGTCCCTACATAGTATATTTCTTATCTTTTACTTGTGTTATCTCTTTCGGTCATCAATCACAGTGGTCCAATGAGCTGGGCCCTCCCTCTTTCCCTCCCTCCCTCCCTCCCTCCCTTCTTTCCTCTTTTCCTCCCTCCCTCCCTTCCTTCCTCCTCCTTTCTTCCCTCCCTCCCTTCCTCTCACAATGCCCGGCTATTTTTTTGTTGTTGTTCTTGTTTAGCAGGCCCAGGCTGGGTTCAAACCTGCCAGCCCTGTGTATGTGGCTGGCGCCCCAACCACTGAGCTATGGGCACTGAGCCCAGCTGGGCTTTTTCTTAGTTATTTTGCAGAGGAAACTGAAACTTAGAAATAAAGTAACTAAATTTAAAAACAACTAATAAGTGGCA